CACTGAAGCTCTTAAACAAAAGAAAGGGGAGGTGTGGAGGGAGAGAAGGGGGCACTACTGCTAGTACTGTACCCAACTTTTTTTCCCAGCCCTGATTATTCAGCATGAATTCACAAATAGTTTCAGAATGGCCAAAGCTTTATTTTTGGCAAATGTATTGTGTGCTGAAAAAAATTGCCCTCTTTTAGTGGTCAGCTTCATCTCCTCTGTGCATGAGAAATTAGACCCAGCTGTTGAAAAGTTGTGTGGAACTTCAAGTAGGTCACAGCTGCTTCCGGACCAATACCTGGGAAGGAGATTGAAGTGCATAAGGCTGTTGAAGTTCATCTCCATACTGAGCCTAATTCATTTCCCAATGAAGTCAGTGGAAAGTCTTTTCTCTCCATTACCCCCCACTCTCTAAACTCGTTAATCCACATGAAGTGCAGCTAGGTTGTAAAATTTGCTTAGCACAATCTACTTTTAAGTTGCCTTCAAGAATTAATCCTTTCCCTAAGGACATTTTTACATTCATGGGATTTTTAAAGAGCCAGGCTTCTGCTGTGAGTTGAGCAAGGTGGGAGGGAGCTGTATACATTTGCAGAAGCTGATGTGATTCAACAAGGAAATTAGGGCACATCACTGCTCTATATTCACACCTATGAAAACTAAGAGTTCGCCAACAAATAAGTGCATCAGCTCTTTCACTTCCATATGTGCATGCTAGCCTAGAGAAGGGGAAACAGATGGCAATTACCAGATATAGGGTTACTACTGTATTGTTTTCTTCTCATGCTTTTTCAGATTGGGTGCTCCTTGGGAAGGAGGCAGAGAATAGATTTTCCCAAGTGTTACCAGTATCACAGGAAGAGCACATCCATGTGACTTATATAGTGCTTCTTGTGAAACCAGCAAATTAAAATTGACCACAGCCATGCCACTTTCTTTTAGTTGCCTTTGCCAGAATTAATAGGAAAGCAGTTTACATAGAAGCTATAGCACAGGGGAAGGGCATAAAAGGTAGTGGACACAGAACTGGGGTGAAGTGGAACCCACAGAGGGGGAGGTGGAATGGAGTGGCTGCTTAGACAGGGAGGAATCAAAGTTGTGGCTGGTGACTCAGATGCTGGCTTAATGGTTATTGCAGTAAATGCATATTTCTGAATCTTTCTCTCTGAGCTGTTCCTCAGGGGATTCTTCCCTGGGTTATATTATCCTCCTCACTATCACCAGAGATAGGAGCTCTAATCATAATGTAGTTCTAACACTGGTTATCTTTTCTATTTGAGTCACACTAGTGATGTGGTAGCCTTGGATGCCTCTTCTAAGGTGCCTGGAACAGCAGCAGCCCTTCTTGGAGAACAGATAACATCTGCATTGGAACTGAGTTTATATTTCTTGCTGGAGGCCAGACTCTGAAGGTCTTTCTTTAACTTTAATACCCAGGCAAAATTCCTGTTGATCTGAGACACAGGAAGTCAGCTGAGTGTCCTGTCCCTCTTCCCTATCCAAAATCACTGAGATTCAGGACTGTAACATATAGGGCATGTCTACATGAAACACTTTACTGCACATTAGACTATTAGACTATTCTAATGTGCAGTAAAGTGTCACCATGTATACATGCACTGAACCTACTGTGAATTAAATTAGTCTAATGTGCCATTTGCTGGTACCAGCACATACAGGTACTAGATAAATGACACATTAGATAATGCGCAGCGTATGTGTAGATGCTCCCAGTGAGGGCCACTGCTGCCTGGCTAAACCCCCAAGTTGGGGGAGCTGTGCTGGCTATAGGGGCAGCTGGTTCGTGCCCTGGTCCCATAGGGATGGGTGTCCATGTGCATGTGGCCAAGAGAGCTGTGCCAGCAGCAGAGGCAGGTGGCTTCCAGTCCTGATGATCCTGATGTGCATGGGGTGGGAGACAGCTGCCCCTGCAGCCAGCACAACTCTCCTGACCCCATGCACATGGGGACAGGGATGGAAGCCAGCTGCCCCTGCAACCGGCACAGCTCTCCCAGCCCCATGCACATCAGGACCAGCCCTATGCCTCCTGTTAGCCCCCGAGCTAGCAGTCAGGGACACTCCCCCTGGCTGGTGCTGCGTGGAAGAGCAGGGCAGGAGCAGCCCTGAACCAGGTTGATCCTGTTGGGCACAAATCTGTACCCAACAGGGCATACATGTATACACATTCCTGGGTACAATTTACTGCACCTTGTTTAATGCACAGTATCCTTTCTGTGCATTACTTTACATGCAGACACACCCACAGTTGATGAAACATTTTTTCTTTAGCTGGAGACATCTACTTTAGGGAGGTGGGGGGGGAAGAGAAGGTTGTTTAGAATTCATTTACAGTGCTTTAAAGGGCTTCTGTCTGTAGCCTTGAAACCCTTGTACTGCTTGAAGTGCTATAATTTTTTATTTTCTCCATTTATAGTTTCATAGTTTCTAGGGTTGGAAGGGACCTGAGCAGATCATCTAGTCTGACCCCCTGCCATGGCAGGAAGAGCACTGGGGTCAAATGACCCCAGTAAGGTGGTCATCCAACCTCCTCTTAAAAACCCCCAGGGTGGGAGCCTGCACCACCTCACTTGGAAGCTGGTTCCAGACCCTAGCCGCCCTGACCGTGAAGTAGCGCCTCCTGATGTCCAACTTAAACCTTCCCTCCGCCAGCTTGTGACCATTGTTCCTGGTCACTCCTTGCGGCGCTCGGGGGAACAGGGACTCCCCCAGCGCCTGCTGATCCCCCCTAACCAGTTTATAACAGGCCACAAGATCCCCCCTCAGCCTTCTCTTTTGAAGGCTGAACAGGTTCAGGTCCCGCAACCTTTCCTCATAGGACCTACCCTGCTGTCCCTTGATCATACAAGTGGCCCTCCTGTGATTGTCCAAGGGTAGGAATTATTCTATTTCACAGCAATTACTATGGAGTCACCAGGCCTATTAAGCAAATAGATTGTTTAAACTTTCCCCAAATCCATCTAATCTTCTCTCTGCCTTTAATAATCCTTTGTTTTATATTGCACATATTACCATGGAATATAAGCATATGGTATTTATGCATTTATAAATTAGTAAAAGAATAAACCTTTTACTGAGATGTAGCTAAACCATAGATGTGGAACTGTCCAAATGTTGGTGTCTTCAGACCTAGAGTTTTTGTTCAACCAATTATAAAATTTGAAAAAGGGGATGTGGTTCAAAGTTTGAATAACAAACTCTTTCAGAGTCAGAGTGCTTTCTTAATCTAGAGGGCTGGAAATGCCACATACGGCACAATATTTACTTTTGTCAGGGTGGTAAAGGGCTTCAGGGGGCTGACTGCATGACAAAACATCACTTCTGTTATTGCTTCTGATGTGCACTTCTGATGGTTATATCAGCATGATCCTCTAGCAGTTCAAAGTCAGTTAACTTTGACCTGGAATGAAAGTCAAACTTCAGTGATTTTACTACACTTGTGTTACAAAGATAAATTACAGTTCATTATACAGTTCATACTGGTATAATTTGATATATAATATTGATGATGAAAATATTGCTTCTTCTAGCCTTCTCCAGATCACAGAAATATAAAATGTCCCTCTTTTATACATTTTGCTATATATTTCCCCTCCCTTCTCCCCCCTCCCATTCTGAAGACAGTATGGGGTGAGGGGAGGGGGGGGCTGGGGTGAGAGAGGCTTCAGACACACAGCCACTCTGAACTGGAGTTCAGTCCCCCAATGCCCCAGACACACCAGTGAACGGCTGTTGGGTCAGGGGAATCAGTGTAACTCACAGCGCTTCCTGTGAAGCACCATGACTTACAGCAGGGAGCTGCATGTCTGTCAACACCCTAGATGTTTCAATCTGAGCAGCACCTGTTTCCCCTTCCCCCTCTCAAGATTAGATGGATTTTGGGAAAGTTTAAACATAACCTGTCCCCCCTTCCACCCACATTTTAAAGCCATTAAAAGGAAACTTATCCAGACTCCTGCTAGCATAAGTGGAACAGGTTTTCCAAATACAGCACAGCAATAGACAGGAAAGAAAATGCACTAAAAGGCAAGGAAAAAGCTGGTGCCTAGATGACTATGGAGTGTATACAACAAACAGAGAATTGAGACACTTGGATTAGTACGGAACAGCAGTACTCTCCACCCTGAGTAAAATGATACAATGGAAAAATTAGGAGTCAAGGGATTTCCCTACACTCTTGTCTTTCCTTAGATTGATTCCTATCTGCCCTAATTGTTATCTCTGTAGTTCACATTTGTTTTTCTTTTCTTAGCCTATTTCCTTTCCTTGTTTTTAAAGAATGGATTATCTGTGCACTCCAGAAGGGTGTTACTCACAAAGATCACAAGCTTTTAGATCACGCACAAACATTGGCATGCTGACTAACAAAGCAAAATATGCTGAGGCTTTAAAACTCAAGTGCCACATGGCATTTGTACAGCAGCAGTAACTTTATCCAGTGATGTACATTGTCATGGTTCTGCTGGATCCCAGAATTTGTGCTTCTCTGATCAACCGGCAAGTATATTTTTAAAAAAAATTATTAGCATGTGCAAGAATAAATACTTTGCTTGCTTGGTTTTTTTTAAGTGTTCTTGATGTTCACTTTATCGTACTATTAAAAAAAATGTTAGAGCTGGGAGGGTTTTTTGGAAAAGGCAGGTGGTCTCATACAAAGACATAGATTAAAATTCCAAACTGTATTTTAGCAAATAAGAGACATATTCCTAACACTACCATTTTCCATCTTTATTATGTTGGACAGGTCATTTTATTTCTCTGTGTTTTCCTGTAGTTTGTTTGTTTTCTTCCCCTCTGCTCCCCACCCCCGCTCCTGCAAATTGAACATATGAGTTGCATGCAGTTGTTGTAAAGCTTACTAAGGACTTTGTGATTGTAAATGGAAAGCAGTAGAGAAATGACAAATACAGTTGTTTATGATTACCTAGCATTAGCAACATCGCCTCTTTCCAGAGAAATTAAAGCACTGATTTGTCTTTATTTTTATTTTCAAGGCAGTTTTGCAATGGATGAAAGTGCAGACCCTATGGTGATGACAGTGCATCTCCTTGCCAGCTCAGGACATTCATTGTTTTTGCAGCAAACCCTTGATCAGCTTTTGGAATGGATCTGCCCTGATGTCCGCCTTTTCCTTGTATCAGAGTGTGTTACTCCAATTAAATATTATGAGAAATATCGCAAGAAAACCTCTGGATTTCCAGGGATATCTGTTCTCCTTTTCCTGCACGAGGCCTTTGGGGAAGAACGGATTTTTCGGGTCCATGATTTCTTTCAGCACCCACCGTGGCAGTATTATCACACACAAAATACTAATGGAAAACTTTACCCCTATGCACCAGCTAATCAGGACTTCTATGGTCTGGATGACCACATGCCTGTGTGGGGTGTCAGGCAAGTTCATTATGGCGCTGAAATTCTGCGTGTTACCCTGTACTGTAGCTTTGATAACTACGAAGATGCAGTAAGATTATATGAGATGATCCTGCAGAAGGAAGCAACAATGCAGAAAAGTAACTTTTGTGTCTTTGCCATTTACACAACAAAACACACTGCTGTTCAGCTCTGTCTGAAGCAGCTGCCTATCGGGATATCTGTTGAGCTGAAAGAATCTTCAGTTCTGCAATTCAAGGTGCAAGAAATAGGACAGCTGGTACCTCTTTTGCCTCATCCATGTATTCCTATCAGCAGCACCAGATGGCAAACTCAGGACTATGAAGGAAACAAAATCCTGCTTCAGGTAATGTTGTGCGTGCCCTCTTTCAGTCAGAGAGGGAAAGGGAGAAGAATGCAGTTCCAGAGTGGAATTGAGTTGTTGTTGGGTTATCAGTTCAAAAGTATGACAACTTCTGTAAATGCCTATTCTGTGCTCTGGATGCCATTCCTACTAACAGAAATGTAAAAAATTCTAAAAAATATTTAGCAATCCTTTTATATTACACCATAACTTACAATGATTTAACAACACAAAGTTAGGCTTGTTAATGATAACTTGATATGTGAGTACAGATACCTTTAGTTCATAGATGAAGTTTCACTTCAAGTCAAATTACCATAACTGCCTGAATTATTTCTTCAGGGTTTTGTATTGTAAATGCTTTCTGAAGCTGATTTCTAGCTGTGTTATTGGGTGCCACCTGGAGGGGAGAAAGATTATTTTTGAAGTGTTAGTACAGCACACACTGCATTATTTTATGTGAAAACTTTAGTGGGTCTTAGTGCAGCTGTGCTGAGTGAATGCAGCATAGTGAATAATTTATTCCAGGTAAAGTACCTCTTTTCTACTTCCTACTTTCACCTATGTTATTTGACTCCCTAATGTCCAATAATTTCTGTAAATAATTTAGACCCCCTTACACTCATGCTTGCTTAGGGTCACTTGCCTCTCTGGGAGTAAGGGGAGATGAACTGGCGTGATTTACTCCAGGCAAGGTTGTAAGAAAGTCTAAACAAGAATGCAGGTAGGTCTAAGGGAGTCTTGCTGAGGGTCTAAGATACAAAATCCTTAAATAACTTTGGCTCCTATGGCTTGGTGGCAAATCCTAGAGTCACTATTTATGGACCATTTATGTGAATTAGAGCTGTCATCATAGGCTCACCTAATTAATGCTCTCTACAGCTCTCCTGGTTTATCACCATGATTAGAGGGGGAAATGCTGCCAGGAAGGTTGAAAGTCCAGCCCTTTTTAATGCTGATTGCCTTGTGAGGGGTTATGGTGAGCAATCTGGAACCAGCTGGAAGGCACACCGTATAACTACAAATAGTAAATGAATTCACTGGGCCTAATTCCTCTTGCCTTAATTCCATCACCTTCTGATTTATCTCAACATGAGGAGAAGAATCATACTTGGCATCATTTAAATTAGCTGTGGCTGGGTCAAAGCTTGGGAGCCATAGGCATCTCGCAGGCAATTTAAATGCAGCTCCCAAAACAGAGGTGCTGTTGGCAGTTCATTGCCTCAGGCTCAGGGACATGAACATCTCTTGTATATTCTCCAGCTGTGCCAAGATTACGGTTTGCAGTCAGAAGGGTTAAGTAGTTAGGCCACTCTTTTTGAAACTGTAAGCTATTTATAGTAGGGATAGTGGCAGCCATTTACTAAATGGCAGCGTAGCACCTGTCACAGAGGAGCTGTGATAATGAGTAATAATAGCCTTAAAATGAAGATTAAGAGCTACAGAACCAGGGCCAGCACTTGCAATGTGCCTTTTGAATAGATCTAATTAAAATTTTTGAAATGCTAATCTGAGAGAGAATTTCCCTTTTTTTTAAAAAAATAAATTAAGTTATAGTTCAGTTGATTTTTTTGGAAAATTAACGTGTTACAGTGAAACAAATCTATATTTCTTATTAAGGAAGGGGTTTGCACCTTAATTATTTCTGTAAATCTTAATTACTTCAGATTTTGCATTTAAATATTTTATTTCCAATATAATCTTCATTCAGTATATCATACTTTTATGTGTGTGCCACATAATATAAGTTATTTAAATAATTTACCAGTTCTGTTCATTCGTAAATTACCACCCCTATGGATTCTTAATTTTTCTCTCATTTACTAGTTGATTCCTCTTTCACTCATGATTTTTTTTCTTCTTTCTCTTCCTTCCAAAGATCACTTTCTATATATCTTCCTAATCTGTCTGCATAGCTGATTTCTGCACTGATCTCTCTGTGTAGTGTTTGCTTTTATGCACTTGCTTCTTTACATCATTGTGGAAATTAGTTTGCCACCCACCTGGTGCAACTAGCACTCTTTGCTTTGACAGATGCATTTAAATTCCCTGGTATGCAGGCTTATAAGAATTTTTTTTACACTGTGCCACATTATTGCCTTGTCAGGAGCTGCTTTGAACATGAGGGAGGGGGAGATGTTTTGTGTGTATTTCTGCTTTGAGTGGCACATGAAAGTCCTTTGCCTGTGAACTGCTTGAGGCTCTCAATTGCCAGTGAAGTTGATGGTAGTCAAGGGTTCACAACACCCCTTGACTTCATCTTAAATGCCTGCAGTACTTATAGTATTCAGCATTTTTCTGTTCTGGAAGATGTTACCACCAGGTGGTGCTGGTAGATGGATTTTCAAGTTTTTTTCTTGGTGTGTAAGTGAGTTTTCAATTTCAAGAAGACATTGTACCATGGTGGTAGAACGCTTGGTTATGCAAGCTTCTGCATACCAGCAGTTTGGGTAGAGGGAGAGAGGAATGCAGTCCAGGAGTTTCTTCTCTGTTGAGATTCAGTTCTCGAGGAAGTAAGTTGCTCTCTGGGAACTGAACATTTCCAGTTTCCCAAAATCCATTATCCTGTGATTCCAGCAAGAAAGGATTGCTATGTATGCATTTGTGGCCATCTCTGTTCCAACACGAGGGTATATGTCTGAATAAAACGTATTACATATAGAACATACCACAGTTTCCATTGAATCTAGTGCTCATTTTTTATTCCTACTACTAGGAAAAGTGATATAGCTGTGATGGTGCAGAAATTATTTGACAGCAGGGATTTGTATCAGCTATGTAGTATCCCAACTGCATAATTAGTCCATTAAAAATATTGCCATAAGAAATGTATCTACACTTAGCAGGGGCAAAGCTGACATCAGAATGGAACACAAGTATCTGAAGAAGGGGCAATGCCAGAGACATATGTTAAGTTGCTTGGTTACCGGTGACTTAGAGCTTGATTCTGCAAACTCTTGACTCTCAGGCACCATCTACGGATTACACTTAAGGCATGATTAGCCAGTTAATGTGTACAAAGCTATTCCACAAAATATGTGTAATCATATTATAGCTGCTTCCTATCATACTATCCATTCTGCTTGCTGGTGCAGGGGGAGCCCAAGATCATGCTAATAAATAAAGCAAATCACGATCCTGGGCCCCACCCCTGCACTAGCAGTAAGGCGTGATGGGATCGAATTTGGAATCCCACAACGATGCTTCCTGACATGCATGTCTGGAATGTAAAGAAGTGTGACTGTGGATCATGCACCTTTACCTGCACAGCTAGGGGGCTCTCCTAGTGATTGTTTACTTGAATGATTAGTGCTCTTGACGTCTTATTTAAGAGTAAAATCTATAGAACTTATTCCAGGCATCACTGTAACTTTTCACCTATGACAGCATGTTGTTTCCTCTCTGACATGTTTTTTCCTTCAGGAAGTATGACCTGTTGTCATATTTCCAGTTGGTTTATTTATTATGGGCTAGCTTGTTTTAAAGGTTGCCCAGCTTGATGAGAGAAAAAAGGTTATGTCCTAAGTCATCAGCACTTTAATATTTATTACTTGAATTATTGTTAATTACTTTACCATTCCATTCCCTGCCCTTCCCCAAGGATTCATAGGCAGTTCCTAATGTACATCCATTATTGACTTCATCTTAGAACTCATGAGAAATGTTAATTATTTTAACACAAAGCCTAATGATTTGGGGATTTCTCCTAGTGCAGTCAATACAGTAATTTAATGGTCGCTGCTTTACTACTTCTGCACTAGAAAGTCAATGTAAAGCTATTCTGCCTGATTTGCCACCAGTTTGCACCTTACTTTATACCTGTTCAAACTGACATTTCTTATGACTAGAACAGTACATGGTAGTGAAAACATTGTCCCTGTAGCTCAGTGTTCTGACTTAGTCTCCCGTTGACCTGTTGTATTTCACATCCTTTGTTTAGTCAGTGTAATGAGGTTCTACCTGAATCAGCACCAGGATGAAAATAAGTTTGTCAACTGCACTTGTATTTTTAGTTTGAAAATACAGTACGTGAAGATCAACAGCAATTCAAATGTAACCTGCACTCTCAGGAGTAGTGATAGCTACCAAGTGCCCAGCTTGCCATAGCAAGTTTGGACTTACTGAGCTACTAGTTGTTTCTTCCATGTGTAACTTGTATTATCTCAGTATTTTTTTCCCTCCATTATAAAATAAACTTGTCTAAGGAAGACAAGTTTATGGTGGTTTCTGTGTCACGCTTCAGCCAAAGCTATCCTTTCATAGAATTGCCTTAGAATTATCCTGACAAAAGCTTGAATCAGATCTGTACCAGGGTGCTTCATAGGATCAGGTCTGATATAGAGAGGACATGGTTGGGTCTCCCTGCAGAGGTACTAACAGTGTCCCTAAATCAGTTTGCAGTGTCTGGACAATTTTAGGACTATTTGCAGTGTCTTGCATTCTCAATCCCTGGGAGTCAGAAATGCAGAATTAAAAAAAGACTGTTACTAGAAGGAATTGTGAAAGGCTTTTTATTATACTTCTTATTTTATTGCAGGACTTTCCAGCAGGGATCAGTCTGAGACTACAAGCCGCAGTTCATATGTAACTTATTTTTTTAATTTTTCAAAACAACAAAACTTGTAAGCTGTATGCAGAAGCAAATTAAAACAATTTGTTAATGGAAACAGTTCATTGGAATTAATTGATCAATATGTTCTTTAGTCTCCATGTTTAATTTGTATAACTGCAAAAGATCACGCTTGAACCCATAATCATTTCTTCACAGAAGATTTCACCAGAGGGAACAGCAGATGAGGATGTGGTCACTTTCTGACTGCTAAAATGATGATTTCACTCTGTTCCTTTAACCTTTTTTTAACAGGTTCAGGGCCACTCAAAGCACAATGAAAAAGATGTTGTGCTTTCCAGTCAGCACAACCATGCAGGGAGTGAAAAGACCCTACCTAATTTCACCCCAGACTGGAGAGTGAATCTGGAGCACAGAAGGCAGAGGGTCAGAACCATGAAGTACAAGACCAAATCTGAACAGAGGGAAAGTTTTGCATGCAAGAACTCCAGCAGCACCCCCCAAAGTCATTCCTGCTCTTCAACCCACTCCAGCAGCCCACCAGTTACTGTACAGCAGGAAGCTGCCTCATCCCATGTAAACTCGGGGACAAGACTGAAAATTTCCTGCCGCGAAAATTGGTTTCAAAGGCAAGAAGCAGAGATGAATGTGGATACAGGATTTACTGTAGTCAATTCTGAATGCAGCCTCTCCCCTCTGAGCTGGTTTTCAAGGGACTTGCAGGGCAGCCTTCTTCAACCACGAGCTGCAAACTGTCCATTAGGTGCTGCCAGCTCCTCTGAGGAGAGAACCTGTCGGTCGTTTTTCTCGGCCAAAAGAAACCATGCAGCAGGACCGCAACCTTCAAACTTGGATGGGAGGCTCTCAAGGGCAAACCATAGCAATGGAAATGAAGAGGAAGAAGAATTCTTTATATGACTTGAACCATGTGTGCCTGACAGCCTGACTGCTAAATGCTTTCCTTTGGAAATGGAAAGAAAGTATCCAGCAAGCTGTGTCATTCTCTGCTTCCTCAGATACCCCAGGTGCCTAAACTACCTTTTTGTATTCTGAAAAGAGACTTTAGTGGCATTCTATGGCATTGGAGTGATATTTGTTTGCAAAAAGTGATATTAAGGGAGCTGAGAGCGAAATCAAAGAAATATAATACTGCAGTTACCAAGACTGCTTATTCTTAGTGCAGACTATATAAGAGGGTTTTTGTGCAATGAATGGGAATAAGCCATGTGAATCTTATTACTGTGTTTAAATGTTAATGTGTCCTAGCATATGTTATATTTGAGTTTTCTGTCTCTGTGAGTCGCAGCCAGTAGATGGCAGAATAATTGTGCCTCTTAAGATGTCAGTGTTGTAGCTTGCATAAGAGGATTAGTAGTCACAACACCTGAAGAATCTTGCAACACCCTTCTACCCCTTGGTTTCTTCTCATTTCCCCTGTCATTCAGACTTGAATACTATGAGCATGATCAATTATATGCAAGTAAAACACTAAATCGTGTACAAAAGTCTCTCACCCACAGCTCCTTTTCAAATATTTGAAAAAAAGCTGTCTACAGAGACCTTCTACCCATGCCAACACCATATAAAAGCACTTCAAATCAATAGCTTTAACCATGTTTTCTCCCTAATCAGCACATTCTCTCCCCCACCCCCAAAGTAGTTAACAATAAAAACAAGAACAGTTTGCACAGTCTTTGTTAGACCTCTGCACAGTTATCAGCAGGATGGAAATCCTAAGAGGATTTTAAAGTGCAGGATACAAAAGAAGCAAGAGCTATAAATCCAGAGGAAGCTGCCAGAATAGTGAAGGATAAACATTTCAGAAAAAAAGTAAGTCATGTAAAATAAAGCACGTCTAAATATATCCAAACTTGCTCAAAAAGTCCGCCTACCCAAATACAGTTGGATTCCATAAACTAGAAGGGAGATATGTGAGAGAGGATGCAACTGAGGTGTCAAACTATGAAGGGCGAAGTAAAATGTGAGGAGCTCTTTTAACCTACAAAACCAGCCACAAGTTAAAAGACTGTACACATAGAGTCAAGATTAAGAAGACAGTACCTTTTTGAAAGCACCTGCCCCACTGACTGATTGACTATCATTGATGTATAGTAGAGGCTGTGTTTGGATAGGTTTTGATTGAGAGTAGAGATGGAGAGGACAGTGTTGCACTTTACATTTAACCACGGAAGCCTATGCAGTGACTGGCTCACATCTACATGCTTTCCTTTGCCTTTTTATTTCTTTGCCGTCTGTAAGCCCAGGCAACCTAAGCTCATTTTAGGTCTTGTTCAGGGCTTATGTTATACTTGAATGTCCAGAGACCCAATAATGGTCCCCAAAATGAAAGCACTGCTTGCTGTGAAGAAATAGGGCCCTGCTTATAACAGTATTACATTCTTATTGCTCCTGTGAGGTGACAGTCTGCCCCTAGGAAGAGTGGACAATGTTATGGTTTTGTACATTAGCCAGATAAATAAGGATACATGCATACCAAGCAGAGGTGTGAGAGCTAAGTTTCCCATTTGTAACTGAAGTGACCTAAGTTCCCTTTGAGAACAGTGCAGTTCAAATAGCCAAGGACATTGTGGATGCTGGAGGTTTTGCTTGGAGAAAACTAATTCCTTCCCGCCACCATTTCCCATTACTGTCCGTTGAATACAATTACAGAGGGTGCTTACCTTTAGACCTTAAAGTGTGAGTCTTCTCTGAAGAGTAACTGTGATAACAGCATCCTCTGTCTCAGCTGGTCAGCTCCTTGTCAGAACCACAGTCTTTCATTTTAGTGATATGAAACAAGACAAGGCAGTTCATATATTAGACTGCAATTACCTTGTTTCTTTGTATTTTTTTTTCTTTATAGGGTTAAAGTGCTGAGTTTTGAGAGGTGTTGAATTTCTACCACCTCTCCCTCAAATTACTGGGACCTGTGGGTTTGCAGCACCTTCTCTGGATCAGGCCTGACATGGCCAAGATGGCATCAAGTGAACGGTATTGCTGCCATTGAAGAAGTGTGTGAGTGCAAGGAAGGTCCATTCCAATGCACTGAAAATAATGTGTGCTCCAAGCATTATTTTCATGTGCCACATTTTCCCATGTTGTGCCATCTCTCCTGAGAGTAGACTCTTATCTTACTTTGTCCTATACAAAGGAAACCATCCTGCATGGTTCTGCTTACAGTTACAGATCTATCTCCCATTTTATACTGAAAACATGAAACTGTTGCTTTTATTTTAAAGTTCAATTCCATGTTCTGTGAATTTTTAATTGCTTGCAATAAAATGTAATATGGCAACTTACTACATCAAAGCTGATTTTTTTTCCCCCTCCGCCCCACCCCAGCTTGTGTAATGTGCTATAAATTTGCCCAGTGCTTCTTAAAACAAGAGCAAGATGATTTACAACCTTCAGAAACATTCTAATATAAAGCAGCAAAACCAATACTAAACCAAGGGTAGTAGCTCGGGGAAGATTCTGTGGGTGAAAAGGAATTACTAGAGGAAAAAAATCCCATAGTGAATGGATTTATGGAATATGTGGGTTTTAAGGACAGATTTCATGGCCTGATTCCCCCTCAATTCAGCATTACACAGGTGTGACTTTTGAGGTCAGTCAAGGTATTGCTGATTTACACTAGAAAAATTGGGCCTTAAGGGGCGGAGTGAAGATGGTGACTCCAGGACATGGAGGATGGACTGTCTAACAAGAGCTTCTGATTGCTTGCAACAGGTGAGACTAGATCAGTAGTTCTCAACCTTTTTTGTACCAGGACCCATTTATACACATCAATGGCCAGTCCTGACCCAGTGCCCCTCACTCCCAGTGTGTGGGGCAGGGGGTGGGTGTGTGTGGGGCATGAGGGGTCCTAAGCAGCCCCAAACAGGCCCTCACAGGCTGGAACTCTGCCAGCCTGCAAGAGAAAAGCCACAGTTTTCCACATTTTTCTCCTTTAAAGGATAAACCATTTTAAAAGTTTGTTGATCTATTTTTAAAGTTTTCTCGCCGCCCTTTCATATATTCTTGCAACCCACAGGTTGAGAAATGCTGGACTAGATGACCCTTGAGGTCCATTTCTCCCTATGATTTAAAGGATGAAAGATGGTGCAAAACTGATGGTGTATGAAGATATCCTCTTTGTGTCACCATAAAAGCATTTTTTTAATTAAAAAAAAAAATTAAGTTGGCAGCAAAACCAAAAAAACACATCCATACCTCTCATTGCATCGCAAAAGCTCAAAATCTGTGACAGGTGATACGATTTTGTGCTACTATTTTGTGGCCAACATCAGTTTGCTTTAAGGTGGGAGAGCATGGGCATCCTAGAGTTGCTCACAATCTCCAGTCACTTCAGGCAGGTACTGCCAGGGATTCCTGGGCCATTCAGGATCAAGCCCCTAAAGCCCTGGCAGCACCTGCCCAGGTTCCCTTGTCTGGGATGCCACAGGCGTGCATTGACATTCCAGTGTGGTGGTGGGGCTAAGACCACCACAGCCAGTTTTCTGTGCCCCAGAGGTTCCCAGAGGCACATCACTGGAGCAGGAAACCCAACACCTGTTGTCAAACCAGATCAATGGGTTAGGATAACGGGACAGGGATGTATATTTTTCCCAATGAAGCAGATCAGCTGTGCCAGAACACATCCCAGCACAGCTGATCCACTGCATTTGGCAACATCTGTTGAGTGAGAAGAGCATTTATCAGGCTGCTTAGGAAGGTTTGATATATACATAGAGAGGAGCACTAGGAGAAGAAAATGGGAAAGAGCACAAGAAGAGATACATGAGAAAGAGTTCAGGTAGCTTTTAAGCTGAGGTTTTTACCTACCATCTGGTTTATCTTTGGAAAAGTGTGGTTAGTGACTTCAGTAATGGACTAGGACCAATACACCATGAACACACACAAATCAGGACAAAAATATATATTTTTAATTAAAATATATTATTATGGGTGTTTGATTTTACGATGTAATTTTTTTCCCACCTAAGATGGCAAACCCTCTTCCCCAATGGAGTACTTCCAGGGGCAAGGGGAGGGACTTCCAGTAGTGAAGTTCAGAGGTTAGGGGCAGGACTTCCAGTCCCAAGATGGTGACCAGGGGGTGGGGCTACCCATGTGGCCCTTGACAGCTTACCAAAACTCAGCATGCATCCCCCTGCCCAAAATTATTCCCGCACCTGCATTACAGCCTGCTAAATAGCTAAATCTCTTCACCCTTGAATATTCTAAGCCATGGGGCAGGGAAAGGGTGGAAAGGCCTCTGTCTCCACAAGTGCCTGAAAAACACTCAGGCCTGGCAGCACATGCAGTAAGTAGATATGTCAAAACACTAGTGCTGTTCTCCTTCAACATGTGACTAGCATGTGGGCGGCGGTGGGCAAAGTGGATTGTGTTACAGTTGTTATCTGCTTCTCAGTTCCTTTAGTCGCCCATGGGAAACAGACTGTAAGGCAGTCCAGAGGTTGCTCTGATTGAAACCAGGGGCTGAGTACATCCCTGATTGCCCCAGAATCTGACTGTACAAATGTCTTCAGAGCACTTACAGTTCTCTCTGCTCCTGGCTCCAAATACAGCAACATGAGTAACTCAGGTAACTGAGAATTGGGGTTAATAGGGTCTCCTAAAAGAGATTACGGAGTTCAGCTACACGCATCTAAAAGGAAACCTCCAGTGGTGTCTGAGACATTATAATCACTGGATAATTGCACAAAATATCAATTAATAAATAAAAGATGAAAAGCCTTTAAATATACCTTTATAAGAATAATCAAATGGGCTGACACTTTGATTATGATCAATATGAGACTCCTGCTAGGGAGTATGTTTTTAGTGGAGCTGGTTACTGAGAGACTACTCACAGCTCCAGGGATGAAGTAGTAATGGGTATTTGTAGGAGCAGTTCTGAGCGCTTATATGTGGTCTGCATAGTAGGAGATAGCTTTTTCTCTGTGGTGTTACAATAGTTTGTCCTTAGCTTCTGTGATCTTGGAATCTTGATGTTGCCTTTGGTGCTTCCCAGGCAGGTGTGCAAAAGCCTTACCTGTGTGCAATGGGGTCATGTCCTAGGTCAGAACAACATATTCACCCACAAGGTTGTCTCTGTCCGCTGAGGACCTTTCATCTCCCAGGCACTTCTCAAAGGAGGGAGGGTTTTATTAGGGTTTTTGGCCTGGGCAAGTCCCTCCTTCCCACAGAGGCCATGCATCAGTTGGGTGAAACTCTGCACTTCACAACACACTGTACTGGTGCTGTTTGTTAGGTGCTTTAGAACTTAGTTAAAGAAATACCATGAATAAGTGAGTTTGGATCCCAAGTATCCAGAGCTTTGGATCTATTGCTCTAGTGAATACACGGGCGAGCAATTATTTCAGGCAGAGGGTCACTTACCGAGTTTTGGCAAGCTGTTGAGGGCCACATAGGTAGCCCTGCCTTTGACAGGTGCCCTGCCCCTGGTTGCCATCTTGGGACTGGAAGTCCAACCTCTGACCTTTGCCACCAGAAGTCCCTCCCCTTGCCCCTGGAAGTACAGCTTTGGGGAACAGGTTTGCCATCATGGGGGGGAGGGGAATTACATACTAAAAATCAAACACCCATAATAATATGTTTTAATTTAATTACAAATATATATTTTTGTCCTGTGTTGTGTGCATTTGTGGTATATATCCAGAAGTGATTGCATATGGGGGTTTGTGGGGACACGCAGATGTGTGTATGGATGTGAATATGGGAGCCATGTAGTGCAAAGTGGTTGGCGGGTGGGCAGAAAAGTGAGGAAAGTGACGGGGAGGTGAGTGGAAGCAAGCAGGAGCATGAGGCCTGCACCAATGTCCCAGGGCCAGTGCCAGTGGGGCCCAGAGTGGGGTGGTAGGAGTGTGGGGCGTGGGCTGGCAGGGGTCTGTAGAGCCGGGCTGGGCTGCACCAGCAGGCAGAGGGGGGAGCTGACCTGCCTCCATAGAACCCTTGCCGGCTGCCCTGCTC